TTCCATGGCTCTCCCTTTTCTGCAGTTTTTAATGCAATTAAAAATGCACACACCTGCTCCTTTTCACAAACCTTTATTTATGCAGAAGTGTTGTTGTTATCCTCCGTTATGTCTGAGAACCTTGAGGCTCTCTGTAAGGTTAGAACACTTATTGAAGGTCATGGACCTAGTAAGTGATGAAGCTGACTGATCCCACTTGGTTCTCATGTCATAGCCTGTGTCCTTACTCGTTATGCTATACTGTCTTAGACTTGAAGGAACTGTGGTGAGAATTCAGGAATTACTAGCCAGGCACCATTCATAAACTAGAAGTACATATACATTTTTAAACAAAAGAACTACAATTAATGTTTTCTTCTAGCAAGAAGCAGTCTTCTCTGGAATTCTGAAGCCATAAAGTTTAAGTTTATAAATAAGATTTTAAACCAAAATTGTACTGGTTGACCCCTGATACATACAGGTAAATCACAAAAAAATCACATAAAATAACAAAAAAGAGCTGAAAAAAACATCTTGAAGCCCCCTGAGGGAGTGACTATATTTATCAGAGTCTCTTCATTCCAGCTCTCTTTTGGGGGCAAAGTGCCTCCTATATCATCGTGCTTCGAGGCTGGGGACTGGCCACAGAGGTTTTAACCAGAGAAGCAATTCCTATTGATCCTAGAGACCTACAGGAGAACGTGAGGAGAGCTGTGCATATTATGTTTATATAATAATATTCCACTGAAACAAATGAAAAACTGATTCCCAAGAAAATGCAGATGGTAAGAATGCAAATAAATGTTCATTATGAAAACTTCATGAGTTTTTCTCTTCCTTCTATGGTCTTTGCTTATCCATTACCAAAATTGCATTTGGGCACAATATTTCATCAAAAACCTTGTGAAAACATTTTTAGACAAGGCTTTTAACATCTAGCAGTTCCCCCAAAACTTTGATGTCCTGAAAAATCTAATTATTACTGGTAACTTTAAAAGATCACAGTAATTTATTTTTGTCAAATGTGACTAAAGATTAATGGATACAGTCAGGAATAATTTGGTAAAAACATATCAAACACAGAGAAAGCAAAATTTGTTGTTAAGTGAAGCATCAAATATAATAAAAGAGCAAATTCCATGAATGAACAGCAACAATGCACAATTCATTAACCAAATGCCCATGATTATTTCACACTTCAGAGGGCTACTGATATGATCAGAAATTGTAATAAAAGGATAAATATAGATTAACTTCAGCATCTCTATACATTTTAATTATAAATGCTACCCTCAGAGGGCTACCAGCATAATAAAGGAAATACAGACTATGGTTTATCCATCCTTTTTATAAATCGTAACTCCGTATACATCAGACAGTCAGTCAATTATTTTAAAAGACAGCAATTGAAATGCCAGGAGATACTGAAAGTACATAATTTTCTTAGCTGTTACTAACTATAAGTATTAAAAATCTTGTCAACATTCTGGCTCTGAAAACTCTTATCTTTTCAAAATCATCATCACTGTCATCACCCACAATCGTCTGCTAATGTACTAGGTAACAATCTTTACTGCCCAAAGGAAAAATGTTTGTTCAGCAAATATTAATAAACTATAAGCTCCTCGAGGGCAAGGCCACATCTTATTAGTCTTTATATTCCCA